CACTCTTGTGGGACACTCTTGTAGGACACTCTTGTAGGAAACTCTTGCGGGACACTCTTGTGGGACACTCTTGTGGGACACTCTTATAGGACACTCTTGTGGGACACTCTTGTGGCACACTCTTGTAGGACACTCTTGTAGGACACTCTTGTGGGTCACTCTTGTAGGAAACTCTTGTGGGACACTCTTGTAACACTCTTGTGGGACACTCTATGGGACACTCTTGTGGGACACTCTTGTGGGACACTCTTGTAGGACACTCTTGTGGGACACTCTTGTGGGACACTCTTGTGGTACACTCTTGTGGGACACTCTTGTAGGACACTCTTGTGGGATACTCGTGTAGAACACTCTTAAGGGACACTCTTGTGAGACGCTCTAGTGGGACACTGTTGTGGGACAGTCTTGTAGGACACTCTTGTGGGACACTCTTGTAAGACACTCTTGTGGGACGCTCTTCTGGAACACTCTTGTAGGACACTCTTGTAGGACACTCTTGTGGGTCACTCTTGTGGGGCACTCTTGTAGGACACTCTTGTGGGATACTCTTCTGGCACACTCTTGTACACTCTTGTAGGACACTCTTGTGGCTCACTCTTGTAGGAAACTCCTGTGGGACACTCTTGTAGCAAACTCTTGTGGTACACTCTTGTGGGACACTCTTGTAGGACACTCTTGTGGAACACTCTTGTGGGACACTCTTGTAGGACACTCTTGTGGGACACTCTTGTAGGACACTCTTGTGGGACACTCTTGTGAGACACTCTTGTGGGACACTCTTGTGGGTCACTTGCAGGACACTCTTGTGGGACACTCCTAGGAAACTCTTGTAAGACACTCTTCTTTGTCGGACACTCTTAAGGGACACTCTTGTGAGACACTCTTGAGCGACACTGTTGCGGGACACTCTTGTGGGACACTCTTGTGGCACACTCTTGTGGGACACTCTTGTAAAACACTCTTGTGGGACAGTCTTGTAGGACACTCTTGTGGGACACTCTTGTGGGACACTCTTGTGGGACACTCTTGTGGGACACTCTTGTAGGACACTCTTGTAGGACACTCTTGTGGGACACTCTTGTGGGACACTCTTGTGTGACACTCTTGTAGGAAACTCTTGTGGGACACTCTTGTGGACACTCTTGTGGGACACTCTTATAGGACACTCTTGTAGGACACTCTTGTGGGTCACTCTTGTAGGAGACTCTTGTGGGACACTCTTGTGGGACACTCTGTGGGACACTCTTGTGGGACACTCTTGTAGGATACTCTTGTGGGACAGTCTTGTAGGACACTCTTGTGGGACACTCTTGTGGGACACTCTTGTAGGACACTCTTGTGGGATACTCCTGTAGGACACTCTTAAGGGACACTCTTGTGAGACACTCTAGTGGGACACTGTTGCGGGACACTCTTGTGGAACTCTCTTCCAGCTCCCCAGATACTCCGTTCACTAAAGTTGTACTACAAGGTCGCCAGTTCTCAGCTTCCACCTCCCAAAAAACTCCACGTACTACAGTTGTACTACAAGGTCGCCAGTTCTCAGCTTCCAGCTCCACAGATTGCTCCGCGTACTCAAGTTGCACTACAAAGTCGCCAGTTCTCAGCTTCCAGCTCCACAGATTGCTCCGCGTACTAAAGTTGTACTACCAAGTCACCAGTTCTCATCTTCCAGCTCCCCAGATACCCCGCGTACTAAAGTTGTACTACAAAGTCGCCAGTGCTCGCCTGCATTTCGCGCGCTCGACACGCACGATCTCCGCAGAGGGTTGCGCGGGCACCGGACAAATCGCACTCTCGCCTGCATTTCGCGCACCCGACACGCACGATCTCCGCAGAGGGTTGCGCGCGCATGGGACAAAGCGCACTCTCGCCTGCATTTCGCGCACTCGACATGCACGATCTCCGCAGAGGGTTGCGCGCGCATGGGACAAATCGCACTCTCGCCTGACTCGCCTGCATTTCGCGCACTCGACACGCACGATCTCCGCAGAGGGTTGCGCGCGCATGGGTCAAATCGCACTCTCGCCTGCATTTCGCACACTCGACAGGCACGATCTCCGCAGAGGGTTGCGCGCCAAGTCTCCAAACGAGCGTTTCGTACGAGACTTCCTCAAAAACTCACACGTCAAAGTCTGCAAAACGAGCGTTTCGTACGAGACTTCCTCCAAAAGTCAAGCGGAAACACCCATCGGAGCACACACATCACGCAGTCCTGCCAAGCAGTTTCGCGATTCCAGCCCCTCCAAACAACATCCGCTCATACTCTTGTGGGACAGCTCTTGTGGGATACTCCTGTAGGACACTCTTAAGGGACACTCTTGTGGGATACTCCTGTAGGACACTCTTAAGGGACACTCTTGTGAGACACTCTGGCGGGACACTGTTGGGGGACACTCTTGCGGTACTCTCTTCCAGCTCCCCAGATACTCCGCGTACTAAAGTTGTACTACAAGGTCGCCAGTTCTCAGCTTCCAGCTCCCCAGATACTCCGCGTACTACAGTTGTACTACAAGGTCGCCAGTTCTCAGCTTCCAGCTCCACAGGTTGCTCCGCGTACTCAAGTTGTACTACAAAATCGCCAGTTCTCAGCTTCCAGCTCCACAGATTGCTCCGCGTACTAAGGTTGTACTACAAAGTCGCCAGTTCTCAGCTTCCAGCTCCACAGATTGCTCCGCGTACTAAAGTTGTACTACCAAGTCACCAGTTCTCATCTTCCAGCTCCCCAGATACCCCACGTACTGAAGTTGTACTACAAAGTCGCCAGTGCTCGCCTGCATTTCGCGCGCTCGACACGCACGATCTCCGCAGAGGGTTGTGTGGGCACCGGTCAAATCGCACTCTCGCCTGCATTTCGCGCACTCGACACGCACGATCTCCGCAGAGGGTTGCGCGCGCATGGGACAAATCGCACTCTCGCCTGCATTTCGCGCGCTCGACACGCACGATCTCCTCAGAGGGTTGCGCGTGCATGGGTCAAATCGCACTCTCGCCTGCATTTCGCACACTCGACAGG